CTCTTGGTCTCGCTTCAATACCACTGGATCCGATGCAATATGTTGGTCTAGTCATGGATCAACAACTGCTTTTCACCAGCAATAGCAGTAGGGCTCCCACCGACAGAAATGGCCGCTGAGATCTGGGCAAACATCAACGAGGTGTATAGGAAGCTGGATCTCACCAAAACATTCACTCTTGGGCAACGTCTCATCAAGCTCAAACAAGGAAACAACTCGATCACAACTTATTTCAATCGGCTCTCTATCGTTTAGAAAGAGTTAGACACTGCCGAGAGACATTTGAAGGGCCGTCGGAAACATTCCACTAGTATCAAAGAATCCAAGATCACAACAGATCGTCTCAGTTTTTGCTTGGTTTGAACGAAAGCTTTTTAGCTTTTAGGACGCAAATCTTGACCATGTCCCCACCACCTACTCTTTGTCGAAGTTTTCAACTGGTGGTGCAAGATGAGAGCCAACCCCAATTGAACTTCGATCAACCATTAATTGACCCAATTGCTTTTGCAGGTTTGAAAGAAAATGGCGACAATATGCAGCTAGGGAAAAATGCGAGTGGCAAAGGCTTGAATTTAAATGAAGAGATGAAAGGCCTAGATTCTTTCCCTCAATCTGATAGCTAGAAGCTAATCGCATTTTTAAACGCATCTAATGGCTCAAATCGTGCCACGTCATGAATTGGGTCAAACAAATCAACAGGTTGGTCAACCGAGTCAAACTCTTGGTCAAATGGGTCTAGAAATTCAAGATCCAATCAAGGCTGATTATATTGTAAATATTGCAACAGAAGAAACCATGATAGGGAACATTGCTAGAAATTGCATGGTCGTCCTAATTCCAACAACAAGGACAAAAATGGTCATTCCTCTTCTTTCCAAGTTGATTATCTTCCTTTCGGAAATTAGCTTGCACCCATTCTCAACTAGGATCAATATAATCAGTTGCTCCAGCTACTGAATAATGTCCCAACTGCTCTTACAGCATCTTACGCGGGTACTTCTTATTGTTTAAATTTTATTACAACTGATATGTGGGTTGTTGATTCAGGGGCTAATGATCACATAATTTGTAAACCAAATTTTTTTACCACTTTTTCCGCTACCTCATCCACTTCCGTTCGTATGTCAAACAGAAACATAACACCAGCCATTCACATAGGGACCATCCAATTATTTGGAAATTTATCCCTTAAGAATGTGCTATGTGTTCCTGTATTTCATTTTAACCTCATCTTAGTATCCAAAATCTGTGAAGACAATAGTTGTAGTGTAAAATTTTGTCCTAACACATGTAAATTTCAGGACCCTTTGACTAGGAAACTGATTGGCTTGGGTAAGGTCCATAAAGGTCTATACTATTGGGCACATGCTGACTCGTCTAATGTTTTTCCTACTTGTATTACAACCAATAAAATTTCCAGTTGTAATACAATGATTAATAAAACTTCTTTTGCTCTTCATCCAAGATTAAGTCACAGTGCAACTATCTGTCAACCTCAATGTTCAATCTGTCCATTAGCTAAGTAAGCCCGAATTACTTTTCCACATAGCACTTCCACTACAACCCAACCTTTTTCTCTAATCCATCTTGATATTTAGGGCCCATACCATATCCTCAATCATGATGGATCCAGATTTTTCCTCACCATTGTCGATGAATTTTCTCGGGGTACGTGGACATTCCTCATGCAATCTAAAACCCAAACACTTACCCATATTAAACACTTTTTATCCGTGGTCACCACCCAATTTCGTACTTCCGTCCAAATGGTTAGAACCGACAATGCAAAGATTTTTTTAATCATAGTTGTTCATCTATTTTTTTCTCACTTGACATACTGCATGAAAGCTCTTATACATATACTCCGTAACAAAATGGGGTTGTCGAAAGAAAACACCGCCATCTACTAGAAGTAGCCCATGCCCTCAAACACCAAGCCCATATACACATCTCTTTTTGGGGTGAATGTGTGATCGCAACCACATACTTGATCAACCGCATGCTAACCAGAGTCCTTCATCGAAAGACACCTTATGAGGTATTATTCAAGAAACAGCCATCTCTCAACCACCTCTAAGTATTTGGCTATCTTTGTTATGTTACTACTTTTGGCTCACATGGCTCACATGACAAGCTCAACACCCAGGCCACTCGTATTTTTATAGGATACCCTATGCTCCAGAAAGGTTACAAGTTGTATAATCCAGTTGACAATAGGTTTCTAATCTCTTCCATTTTCCACCAAGGATACTATTTCATCCCCATCACCCATGCTATTTCCTGAAGATGATGTTTTACCGGATCCTCTTTTCACTATTATACATGCTCCTCCGGTTTCTCAGCCTAATATTCCTCCCTCTAATTCTGACACAGTAGCCATGATGGTCCTCCAACAGAATCACCTGTTCAGATCCCTCATGATGTTTCTCTATCAGGATCTCCTATTCCGGTTCCAGTTGTTCCTACAAGCTGGAGTACTTGGTAGACTCGACCATCGATCTAGATAGTAGACTATGAGTGCCCCAACATTTCAAATTCTTTAGGTACACTATATCTCACCTCTAATTATGTGAGTTATGATCGTCTCTCTCCTGTACACAAAGCTTGTATCAATCACATCGTCGCCGACTAAGAACCCATTAGTTACTTAGATGTTGTGGAGCACTCTCACTAGCGTCAAACAATGGCTGATGAACTTACTGCTTTGACTTAGAACCATACTTTGGATCTTATGCCTCGCCCCTCTCATAGAAAACCCATTGGTTGTAAATAGGTCTACAAAATCAAGCACCGTGTTGATGGCTCCATTGAACGTTACAGAGCTCAATTGGTAGCCAAGGGATTCACCCAGCATGAGGAATTCGATTATCAGGAGACTTTCTCACAGTAGCCAAACATGTCACTATTCGTGCTTTCCATACAGTGGCTTCTGTCCGTGACGGGCCTCTCCATCAAATGGATATCCATAATGCCTTTCTTCATGAGGAAATTTATATGGATCTTCGTCCAGAATTTCCCAGCCACGAGGAGAACACAATGTATCATCTGCCAAAATCCCTTTATGGGCTAAAACAAGTATCTCGACAATGGAATGAGAAATTCAGCAAAGCGCTCACTAATATAAGATTTGTTCAGTCCAAACATGACTATGCATTATTTACTAGGCATAAAGGTAAAACTTTCATTGCTCTAATCTTCTACGTCGATGACATTCTTATTACAGGAAATGATGAAACATGCATCAAATCCTTGAAAGAGCATCTTAACAGACAATTTCGAATAAAGGATCTAGGAGAGCCTATATATTTCCTAGGTATCGAAATTGCAAGGTCCCCGACAGGAATATCTCTCAACCAACGAAAATATGTCTTGGAACTCATTTCTGATTTTAGGCCATCAGGATGCAAGCCAAGTATTATTCCAATAGAACAAAACACCAAACTGACTATTCAGGAATATGATAGTGGGATATCGTCCTCTAAAGATGATCTACCTCTAGAAGACCCCATAAACTATCAAAGACTTATTGGGCCATTAATCTACGTCACCATGACTCGTCCAGACATCAGTTATGTAGTTCATACATGGACCTAAATGATCTCACCTGGATGCAGTGATAAAGGTTCTAAAATACTTAAAAGAGTGTCCTGGTTTAGGACTCCTCATTTCTCGAGACAAAGGTTTGGATATAACAGCTTATTGTGATTTAAACTAGGCCACATGTCTAATGACAAGAAAATCACTTATAGGTTTCTGCATCAAGCTAGGGGGAGCTCTCATTTCATTAAAAAAAAAAAAAAAAAAAATCAACAGTATCTCTTTCTTTAGCAGAAGCCAATATATATAGAGCCATGACAAAGACAACATGTGAAATCATCTAGATTCTGGGGTTGTTGGAAGATCTAGCTAGAAGTACAAGTAAGAAAGCATCTTCTTTTATATTGTAACAACAAGGCTGCAAACAACATAGTAGCAAATCCAATATTCCATGAAAGAACAAAACATATAGAAAGTGATTGTCACTTTGATAGGAGCAAAATACAAGAAGAGGTAACTAAGACTTTACACATTCGTACTTCAGAACAACCAGTAATCATCTTCACAAAACTAGTAGACAACATTCATATCTACTTAGCAAGCTTGAAGTTTTTGAAATCTACAAACCACAAGCTTGAGGGGGAGTGACGAAATATGGAATGCATTTTCATTACAGCTTTCCCTTGATCTCTGCTAGCTAAGATCAAGGAATGATTATGGCATTCAATCAATCACCTTAATTTATGTGATTGATTGAATAATTACAAGGACTTGTGTTTATTATTTTCCTTTTCCACATTTACAGAACTTGTATAAATTAGTCATTGTACAGGCTTACAAGTTATATAGAAATACAGAAATTCTTCTTCTCTCTTTCTCTTGGCATTTTCTTTGGCATCCTTACCACTCTTTGCCTGTCTCTCTAATCAGCTTCTTGCAATAGATATCAACGAATTAAAACATCGAATTCTTCGAACAAACATGGTATCAGAGCTACTTTCACAAAAAAAAAATAAAAAAAAAATAACTATATTATATACAAACAACAATACTTGAAATACAAGTAATAAAAATACCTGTTTGAATGTCATTTCATTCTAATTTTATACTTATTTTAAATTCGTATAAATTTAATACTATTTATTTGGTATATAATTTCTTTATTATTTATTGCTTTAATTATGAATTCAATATTAAATTAACTTCAATACAAACCGTTTACATTCAAAAAAAATACTATCACATTAAGTTCAATAACAATTCATAAAAAACAATATATTATCGACAAATTTATTTACTAATTATATTTTCCTACATGACAAACAACAATACTTAAAACACAATTCTATAAACATACCCGGGCTTTAGCCCTAGTCACATATATACTTCAATCCGATTTTATTGATTATTTATAATGTGAAACATGGCTTTAAAAATATTATATAGAGACCAATATCGAAATTCTAAAAATGATCCTGAGCACAATCTTCTGGGAAAAACTGAATTGCTCCGATTTGGCCATTGTGAATTATACGCATATTCTGCATATGATAAACTCCTAGAATAGATATGCTTGGGTGGTCCATTATTGCTACACAGAAAAATCCAGCTACATGAAATTGAACGTTCACAAACCTGCCATCTACTCTGTAGTCTGCCACTTGGAAATGGAAGGTCAATGATGGATAATCTACAAAATCTTGTCGGTTCATATAACAAACTTCGAATGGAACACCAGGATTAGGATTTCTCTCAAGATTGTGAGATTCATAGTATTGAATAAATGCAGTGTTCACCATTCCAAAAATATTGAGCCCGTTCGGGGAATTTGTGGTGAGTGTGGAAGCTGGAGATGCTGAATCTATAAAGAAACCACTAGCAGAGGAAGGTTCGAAGGTACCAGCTGGTAAATTTAAGCGAAAATCTCCCACACTTATATCTAAAAGACGAAGGTAATAAAAATATCTACCTTCAACCCTTACATACTGCGTTGTTGGAATGCTATGTGGAGGAATAAAAACATCCGCCCCAAACCTCAGTTTATGAGGATGTACATCGAATGGATAATTAACATCATAGGGAACAATACAATAAGAGAAGACATCTGACAATTGGGACGCTAGTGAATTTGGATGTAAGTCTAATCCCAAGATCCCAGAAATCATATTATATTGATTATTTCCAAATGCGAAATTTACGTTATTTATGGAGCAGCCGAAGAGAAGAGTAATTGTTTCTGTATCACCATCGTCGTTCACTACAAAATGAAATGATTCGAGAGATGCATAACCTCTTGTCGGGCCACTTGCTTGTGGACCGGAACCATATGAAAGACGGTAGACGCATATATCACCGACACATTTGAAAAGGCTGCCTTCTTCATTATAGTTACAAAGAGGGTCATCACAAGTAATTCCCCTGTAAGTACTGGAAGCTTGCCGATTGTAAATGGGATAATTTTGGAGGAAACATTGTCTGCAAGGTCTACACTGAGTCCAAAGTAGCGGACTACCAGTATCCACCATTACATATACAGATTGAGGTGGGTTTCCGATTAGCATCCGCGCAATATAGAGCAGACCTTGACGGTCTATAGCAGAAAAATGCTTGTCATCATGGAATGTCGAATTTTGATGACTCAGTTTAGCCAGGGTAACATTAACCATTCTCTCAATTTTTTGGCGGTGAGTAAGGTTAGGATTATATAAGGGAGACTCCCGAGAGTCTATTGGGATGACCTTAATGCTCAATCCTCTTGATTTTGTTGCTGCAAATCCAAAACTATGTCTAGAAAATATTACTAGACTTTGCAATACAACAGCGATTTTGAAGAACTGAAGCCCCTCCATTGTTTTCCAAGGGTAAGAAATTAAGTCCCCAAAACTCAACTACTTTAATAAGGTCCCCAACAACCTTAACTATTAGTTGTCAGCTAGGGAAAAAAACGAATATTTTTCAATTAAATGTTTCTAAATAGAAATATTAGTTAATAATTGATGTTAAATATTGATACAATTAAATGTTTCTAAATAGAAATATTAGTTAATAATTGATGTTAAATATTGATACAACATACCTATGATGTCTAAAAATGTTTAAAAAATTACTTTATAGACAAGGGTGAGAATTTATTAATAAAATCATAATTTTTATTCTATTAAATAATTTTTATTTTCTAATTTCTGAATATTTTTACTGTTGTTTTCATTCTCATCTTCCTTTGCTTTCTAAAATCTTAAACAAAAAAATAACTTTGTTCTTTTTTACAAAAGATTGCAATATATTCATATTATAATATAAAATTTTCAAAATGAATATTTCTTCCTTTTTCTTTTTTCTATACATTTTCAAAAACAAAACTCATTATATTAATATGTACTTTATTATTAATTCCTCCCTCGTTTAAAAATGAGGTTTTATTAAAATAAAAGCTAAAAATGTCTTTTTTTAAATATATATTTATTTCTATAAGTATATAAAGTCGTGCCATGAATCACAAAGTTTTTCTTGCCCGGTAGTGTTTTATAAACTGGAAGACAATTTTAAAAGACAAGAAATTTCTTTCTCTAAGGTAAAAATTTACATGGGAAAGGTTTTTCTCATTTTCTTTTTTGTCGTAATTAAGGATTAATGTTTGGTATATACACTGAACCAACCTCGAAAAAACTTGAAAAGCACTTTATTTAATACATAAAATATAATTTGGAAATTCAAAAGACAAATACAACACCAAATTTATGGGAAGCATTTATCTTAGCCATTATCAACTATATATATATATATTGGTTGTTTGTTGATGCTATGCTCATTGTCATTTTGAAATTGGAGTGAAGCAACTATATTGAAAGATAATTCACTTGAATCTGAGACGAAAAACTTTGACTTAATTTTAACCTTTGCTTTTAGATAAACTATGAGTAACTTTTATCAGTAGCTCTTGCTCATTTCCAAAAAAATTGAATTTTTTTGGGTAAAGGTAATTTATAAAGAATAAAAAATACAATCTAAGAGACGGGAAACATCCCTAAACGAAAGTAAGTACCCAGATACCAACCTACACAAAGAAAACAAGGTGAATCCCGGATTTACACTTCAAGAGAATAGAGAACCCACCATAATCATGTAAAGGCTCTAACTAAGGAACCTCCAGCCAACAAAAACAAGGCATATAACCAAAAACACTACCAAGCAGTTACAAAAACCCAAATTGATCCCAACAAGCGGGCACAAAATGACAGCCTACAGTCTTAGCAGTAAAGACAAAGAATAAGGGGCAGCATCATCAAAATTGCCCAGCCGAGAATACATCTGGAGATGACAAAAAAGGTAACCTCAGAGCCACTTGTCCAAGCTGCAGTAGGAAGCTTAGAACTCACCTTGGCACTGCCAGTCTTCCTTCTAATCCCCAAATCAAAATGTCGATTTCTTTCATGCATTTGCTACCACTTTTCCCGAATATACAATAGTAAAAATTATGAGAATCAAAGATGGCTAGAGTAAAATACTTCTAGCCTATTTCATTGATTAGATAGTGAAACATGGCATTACAAATAGTTTCATAAACCATCGACGACATTCTAAAAATGATCATTAGCACATTCTTCTGGGAAAAAAAGAATTGCATTTATTCCACCATTATGAATGATACGCATATTTTGCATATGGTACGTTCATAGAATAGAAAGCAATTGAGTGGCTGATAATGCTAGACAAAAAAATCCTTCATCATAATGCATTAATGTTCACAAACCTGCTGTCTACTACGTAGTCTGCCCCCATTGAAATGAAAAGTCATTGATGGAAAATCATCAAAATTTGGTCTGTTCATATAGCAAAGTGTATGGGCCAAAAATCGTATTGGGTCTGACGAGACCCAATATAGTAAGCATATTACAGCCCAGTGCCTTAGCCCAATTCCGATTGGGCCTACACTTAAATCCAACATGTGAATTGCCCACTCTATGAGTTGGGCTATTCTACAAGTTAAGCTAAATCGGGCTCTAATCCATTAGCCCACAATAGTCCATAATAGGAATCAGAATCCTATTCAGTTTCCACTTCTGTCAAAATCCTAAATCTTACTTAAAGTGGTAAGCCTAATTCGATAAAAGCAAGAGATCACATTTCCTTCCTAACTAGAATTCATCTACCAAGTAGGGCTCAGAGTCTTACTAGGATTCCAACATCTTGAATTCACTATATAAACAGAGGCAAACCCTCACATTAGTCATTCAGAAATCACCCCCTAGCTCCTAATTTTTTGCTCTCAAGAATCACTGTCTTTCCTTGCTATGAAGCCTAGTTCTAACTAACTTCACCACCTAAAGTCGTGCTCTGACCACTTTGTGTTAGCTTTGCCCTAGCCACATTACGGTGAACCCTTTCCTACTCCTCTCAACCCTCGCTAAATTTGCCTTCAACCATGCTGACGTGAGCATTGGAATGCCTACAGTAGACACCACACCGATGTCACCTAAGCCTTCACGTTCTCTTTCCCTCTCGGTGCAAGTTCTTCAAATTGTCAGTGGCTCGCATCACATAAGATCCATCCCTTTCCGAATCAACTATAGATTTTACCATCTATAGTTTGGTGCCCACCGTGGGGCCCTGACAATTATTCGACTCAGAATGACCTGCTCATTTCACTCTCTTCTCTTGGTTCAGCCATCATGACTGAAAAGGCCAAAACCTTCGCGCCGGACATCGCCACTCAGATTGCGGCTCTCACTACACTTGTGAAAGGGAGCAATGACAAGTACCAAGCCTTGGAAGCTCAAAACGCCACCACCTGTGCAGAAAATCAAGCCCTTCAAGACAAGGTAAGCCAATTATACTCCCTAGATTGGAAATTAAGTCAACAACACGCCTCTTCCTCTCAACTCCCCATTCTCCCCAAACAACTGTTCTCTACCTTGGATCATGGCACCCTCACAAACCATTCCTTCCATTTGGCTCCAATCACCATTATACACCTAGCTGAGCCGACCCAAGTAGACGACACTCCACCCATCACCCACTAAAACACTAAAACACTTACTCAAACTACCCCGCTCCAATAACTAAACACTCCTTTCACCCTCCCACAAACACATCCCATGCATTCAATAGCTGACACCACCCACCAAATAATCTCGCTCTGCTCCGCTCGACCATAACATCAACCCCAATGTATTGCCTCGCTTCCTAAACAATGTATACACCCCTGTGGCAACCCCCCTTGAGCAAGCCTTAACCAAGCAACTATCCGAGATGGAGTCCATGATCCAATGCATCCCAAGCATGCCCATTCCCCTCAAAAAAAGCCAACCCCAAAGTTATGCTGACTCACCCTTCATAAACACCATAACACTCATGGAGATGCTTCGCAAATTTACCTTCCCCAACATGAAACTCTATGTTGGAACTACTGATCCTAACGGCCACATAGCCTTTTACAAAGAAAAAAAAAAAAAAAAAGGATGTTCGTCGCCACCATACCTCGCAATCTCCATGAAATATGCATGTGCAAGAGTTTCAACTCCAACCTCATAAGACCAGCACTCTAGTGGTATACCAATCTCCCCAATAACTTCATCACATCCTTTGCTCAACTCATGAACACCTTCGTGGAGCAATTCACCAACAGCAAAAAGTTAGAGAAGTTGTTTGACAATCCCTATCGAATTTGCCAACATCGTAATAAGTAGCTCTAAGAGTACATGAGACATTTGAACCGCGAAACTGTAGTGGAAGCCATAAGGAAGAGACTCCTCCCTGACAGTGAGCTATACAAAGAACTCACCAATTTCAATTGCACTACTATAGAGGATGTGCTGGCTTGTGCACGGATAGAAATAAGGTAGGAAGAAAATGAAGTCCACCGAACCAAGCTTAGCACCATCGACGACTGCTACCCTCGACAATCTGACCAACACCATGATACCTAACCCTTTGAGTTGTACCAAGTGAGGAGAGGCCCATCCGTGATAATAGACACCCACTAGAACGCCACAATGCTCGACCCATTGAAAGAGCACCTAACCCATCCAACAGGTACAGGATGCCTGACTATAACTGGAACATCGAGCCAGGTGAGGTAATAGCCGTAATGAAAGAAATGAGGAAGGTTGTCAAATGGCCAGTAAAAATTAATGCACACTGGGGCCAAGCAAGATACTACCAAGTGGTGCGAGTTCCATGAAGATCATGGCCATGTCACCGCTGACAGTATCACCCTCCATCTCGAGGTTGTGGAGCTACTAAAAATGGGTCATCTCTGAGATTTCTTGACAAATAAAGGAAAGAGCACCCTGGCCAACAAAGATCGCCAAGTCACTCTTCCACCAAAAGCACCGACCCTGGATGGATTGTGCAATGTGATCTCAGGTGGTTCAAAAGTAAGCGGTGTGAGTTACTCCTCGACTAAGCGCCATGCCAAAGCCGTAACTCATCCTAAAATCCACTCTTCTGAACCGCCATTACAAGTGCTGACCAATCTAACCATCGAGTTCATTGACAACGAAATAGTGACACTCATCAACCCCCATCACGATGCACTTGTAATCACCCTCCAAATAGCTAATATTCTCATCAAGAGAATTCTTATAAATCCTAGCTCCTTGGCACCTTGGCTAACAACATGTTCCTTGAGGCATTCAAAGTCATGCGTCTAGATGAATCCAACATCACCCATCACTCCATACTCCTTATTAGTTTCAGCTCAAATCAAAAGTATACCATCGAGGAGATAGCTCTACCAGTCTACGCTGAAGGAATCAACCTCCAAACCACCTTCATGATACTAGATGCCCCATCTCCATACAATGTGATACTCGATTGCCATGGATCTATCGCATGCAGTTCATTCCCT